CCTTCGTCAGGTTTGCCTGAGAGATCGTCCGCATGATATTTTCAAGCGTTATGGTAGACTGCATCTTACTGGTAAAGTCCGTCGAGGTTGCATCAATTTGGCCTCATATAATTACCTTGGTTTTGGCGGTAGAGACGAGTACTGTACGCCTAAGGTCATTGAGACCATCAAGGAATACGGCTTCGCCTCTGGTGTGGCTAGCCGGGCCGAAGCTGGTGGGAGCAACAGTCTCCATGTCAAGCTGGAGGCGATGGTTGCCGACTATCTCGGCAAGGAGGACGCAGTGGTCATGGGAATGGGCTTTGCTACCAACAGTAAGTTGAATATGGAGTACTGCTTTTTTAAGGTCTCATTTTGTAGTGTGGGAAAGTATACATATATTAGTGACAATATGAAAATTCTGAGGATTTTTCAATTGATTTCTGGACATTTTCACCATAGTTCGTATGTGAACCTCCATGATTAGTGTGAAAATTCCTACGCTCAGCTGAGGAGAGTGAACATATTTCCTAACACTAATTTCATAGGTATGTTGTTGGCCGCTGTAGCACTCTCGTCTCCACAGTATGGTGATAAGAAGGTGAGTTTTGCTGTTGTTGGTTGGTTGATCGTATGGGTTTTGGCAGACATTATTCGTGTCGGACTCTTTGAATCATAAGTCTATCGTGGAAGGCGTGAAGCAGAGTACTGCTAAGGTCATTGGCTTCAAGCATAATGATATGCGTGATTTGGAGAACGTTCTCGATAGGGAAACTCGTAAGTGGTGGAGATCCCGGGTTCGATCCCTGGCTAGGGTATTTTTGTAGGATCTGGCAAATGGGCTAAGATTATCATCCTCACAGAGGGCGTGTACTCTATGGAAGGAGAGTTCTGCAGACTCAGAGAGATTGTGAGTTGGGTTTTCTCATTTTGTGGCGCGCGACATTCCCGGGTACTTACTGTTTCTCTGCTGTAGGTTACGCTGAAGTACCGTTATCACTGTTATCTGTGGCTAGATGAGGCTCACTCTATCGGAGCTGTTGGCCCTACTGGTCGTGGTGTGACGGAGCTCCTCGGCGTTGGTGAGCTATGATGATCATAGGAAGTACCTTTGGTGACTGCTAGTCAGATACCAAGCATGTTGATATGATGATGGGAACCTTCACGAAGTCCTTTGGTTCGAACGGTGGTTATGTCGCGGGTGATAAAACTCTAATAGATGTAAGTCTGGCTCGACACCAGCCCGACCGCAGTACGGGTCTGTTTTGTAGTACCTGCGTGCTACTTCCACCGGCTATCTTCATGCCTCGGCTATGACACCAATGGTTACATCACAGATCATCGCAGCTTTCGAGGTCATGAGGACCCCTAGGGGCGAGGAGAAGGTAGGGCCATGCTGCTGAGGAGTTGAGTCCCACTGTGGTGTCGCTTTGGCAGATTCATGCTATTCGTGAGAACTCTAACTACCTCCGTAGTGAATTACGGAAGTTGAAGCTCACTGTCATTGGCGACATCGACTCTCCGGTTATCTGTGTCCTCTTGTGCGTGCCAGAGACTGTCCCCACTTTCTTCCGAGCAGCACTGAAGCGTAACCTAGCCTGCGTTGTGGTAAGTCATCTCTAGTCTGAGAGCTTGAAATCATGAACTCTGATTCTTAGGTTGGATATCCAGCTGTCCCTGTGCTCCTCTCGCGAGCTCGTTTCTGTGTGAGCGCCAGCCACACGCGTGAGCAGATTGACTACACTATATCGATGATGAAGGAGGTGGCCAAGGAGACTGGTGAGACTATCTCCTTTGAGTGTGTGTTGTGGAAAGTGTGGTAAAATTTGCACATGGTCAACCACGTGTGTTGGCGAGAATATGGAAATTCTGAGGAAATTTCGCAAATTTCTTGTTAATTTCTGTTTATTCTCTCAATTCGTATGTAAACTCCTATAGTTTGTGAGGAAGCTGTAAAGCTGAGCTGAGGAAAGCGAAGAACATATTTTTTTGTACTGATTTTATATGGCAGGTATTTGCTATAATAACTCGGTACCGGAAGAAGAGGCCATTTCGTATCGTCATTGGTTGTCCCATGCTCCTTTGGAGACTGTAGAGTTGCCGCATTTGTCTGATTATTGGAAACCCGACGAGTTGGTCCCCAATTGCAAGTTTGAAGTCCCGCATAACGGGCTTATATTCTCATCCGAGGACACGAGTAGGTGTCGGAGTATATAACACCCGAGTTTTATCTGTTTTTCGTGAAGTGGCGTAAAACTCTGTGAAAAAGCGCGATATTCGGCGAATGTTATTCGCGCTATGCAGTAGTCGCGAAATATAGTTCCTACTAGTGTTTTTCATATCTTTATGGTGAAATTTCAATGTGTGTTACATTGCCAGAATGATCGACTTAGGTACGGTCTCGAGTACTCCAGTTGAAGGATCCGACCGGGATGTGCCCCTCCAAGAGTTTGCCGTATTCGATCCTCTATCACTCCTGCATGATCCTGCTAAGGCTGTCAGTGAGCCTGCTTTGGAAGTGATCGAGGAGCGAGGAGTGGGGGCATGCGGGCCTCGAGGCTTCTACGGTGAGCTACAATGACGTATTTATACCGGAGGGGAAAGCTGCTGTTCTTCAGGCACTACTTTGGAGCACCTCGAACTGGAGAAAACTATCAAGGATTTCCTAGGAACCGAGGCGGCGATTCTATATAGTCATCATGCTCTCACCGCATCCAGTGCGGTAGGTCAATGAGAGTACTTTAAGGCCTCTTGTGAGGTTCTCTTGTATGGCAGGCTCAAGCGTTCATCAAGAAGAACGACTTTGTCATAATTCACAAATACGCTACTTATGGTATCCGCACTGGGGTTAAATTGTCGAGATGCCAGAATGTCACTTGGTGGTCTGGTGACGTCGATGAGCTCTTCGACCTTGTCGAGAGTAAAATGCGTGAAGTGAAGTTATCGAGTCACGTCTCCCGTGTGTGGGTCGTCATGGATGCCCAATTCGGTATCGATCTCAGAAAGGTATGGTTTGTACAGCAGTTCGAAGGTTGAAGTTGTTCCCGTTCAGGTCATTGATATCAAAGACAACTTTGGTGCTTATCTTCTTCTTGATGATACTTATGGGATCGGCACCGTCGGTGCTACTGGTCGTGGCTACTGTGAATATTATGGAGTAAGCACGGACCGATCTAGTTGCTGGTCTCGTATTGGTTCTCAATGCTAGGTCCGTTGTTCTGCTGTGGACATCTTGGTCGGCTCATTAGAGCAGACCTTTGCATCTCAAGGAGGGTTCTGTGTTGGGAAGCAAACTATGATCGACCACCAAACACTATACGGCAGTGGTTACTGCTTCAGTGCTAGTTCTCCTCCTGGCTCGTGTAAGGTGGCCACGGAAGCCATGAAGCGAGTTGAGGGCAGCGAGCGGTTGGCTCGTGTCCAGGCCAATACGCGTAGACTGCGGAGAGACTTGGAGGACATCGGTGCTGATATCATTACAGATGCTCAGTCTTTCGCTCAAGTAGTGAGAGTGGCTGACGCACAGAGGGTTGCTCTTGCTATGCAAGAGCGAGGCTTTGTAGTGCAGCCGTTATTGACCTCCCCTCTTGAAAATGATGGTTTGGCCTCTGAGAAAAACACTCTTGTGAGGATCTGCGTTGGTGCTCACCATAGTCCTCACGCTATCGATCAATGCGTTGATAGTCTTAGGGA